CAACATGAGACAAATCTCTGGAACAATTTATAAGATAACTGACTTGGTGTGTTTAAAAAGTCAGTGTCACTTTAAAAAAAATTTTTTTTTAAACCATGATGAGAGTGTTCTAGATTTAAAGGAGGGAAAAGAGAGATCACAACCAAATGGAACACATGAAAGCAACGTGGCTCCCCACCCTGGTTCAAAATATGGAATAGCTGTAAAAGGCATTTTGGAGAATTTTGAATATGGGCTGGGTATTAGATGGTATCAATGAATTGTTAACTTTCTTAGCTGGGGTCATCATCATGTGCTAATTAGGGACTTGTCCTCCTTTGTAGAAAATGCATGCTATGCAACAGTGGGGCCTGGAGTCATGAGGTTTGCAACTTCCTTTCAAAATGATTCCACAAAAGAAAAAGAAAGAAAGAAGCACACACACGCGCACACAAAGAAGTATGGGAAAACAGTGATTCATCTAGATGGTGGTTGATTATTGTACCATTCTCTTGACTATTTTTGCATGTTGAAATATTTTATAATAAAAAGTTGGAGAAAACAATATGGACTGCAGCGTCAGAAAGAACAGGTTCAAATCAACCCTGTGCGTGCTGTCTGAACTTTGGCCGAGTTCAGCCATTTCCTGATGGTGGGTTATGAGACTAACCAATGTATGCACAGTGCCTGCTGCTCTCTCTGTGCAGGCAGATGAACCCCTCCTCCATGAAGCCTGCCCTGATTCCTCCTGCCTTCCCTGACCTCTCATTCCTGTAGCACTTACAGTCCCTACAGTCTGTTTGCCACCAAATGTCTGCTGAATTTCATCAGTTTTATCTCCTCCACTGGCTTGTAATATTTGAAAGCAGGGTCTGTATCTGGTGCTTTCCAGGTAAGCCCTCAAATATAAAGAGCCCACAGGAGCAGCAGTGATAGTTTATCTTGAATGGGTCCTTGCACCTATATTATCTTATCTTGATTCTGCAAACAACCACACAAAGTGAGAAATTATGGATCTCATTTTAGAAGCAGAGCGCCTGATACTCAGAGAAGCAAAGTGTCTTCCTCCTGATTAGTTGGAGTGGAATGGGGAGTGGAAACAGAGGACTGCAAAGTCCCTCAGGACTCTGCCATGCACACCTGCTGTGGGTTCCTGTGGGGTGAGGCTGCGGGCTCAGGGAAGAAGAACCATTGATGAGCAAGGGCCTGGTCTCCCTCCATCCGCCCTTCCAAAGGCCCAGCACAGAGAATCTCTATGGAGATACAGTCCGAGTCTACCAGCCAATGGGGAGGGGCCAGCACCAGGCTTGCTGAGAACAAAGCCCATGGAAAGACACTCTCCATTTTTCCCAGGAAGCAAGCCTGCATCATTCTAGAGCCTGCTGCGGGTGGTGTGTGTGAGGTGGGGGGATGGCTACCCCAGGAGACATACTCGCTCAAAGAACATGTCAGCTGAGTGCAGACCCCTAGCCTGAGGGCTCTGGCCCCCCAGGACACAACATCCAGCTCAGAAATGCTAGCTGGGCTGTGAGGGGCAACAAGAAATGTGTTCAAGGAGAACGCAAGTGTGCCCTCTAGGAGCCTTGGCCACAAATGCCTCTTTGCTGTTTCCACCGGAATGGGGAGCTAGGGAGAAGGCAGAGAGAGAGAAGAAAGGGCAGGGAGTGGGACAACGTGGAAAGAGCAAGGAAAAGAGGAAGGAGAAGGGTAGACGAGAGGTGGAGGAGGAAGAAATGAAGTCAAATGGGAAAACTGACCCAGAGATGGCCGGCAATTGCACGTTGCCCCTGGAGAAATTCGCATGTGGTATGGAGGGTCACCTGTCTGGATGTTCCGGTAGCTCTGGGACAATATACTTCCCAGGAAGCCCATGTTGATCCGTCAGCCTGAGGTCAGTCCCAGCCCCTTAGCCTGCAGGACTCTGGAGTGTTTGGAATGGACAGGGTGTGGTGGGGGGAGGGGCACTGTGCCCAGACTCGAGTCTCCTGCCTCATATGCTGCCCTATTAAGTGAGCCTCCGGAGGGGTACCAGGCCCACGCTATGCACATCACAGCAACTTGACACTGACTCTTCCACACACTTGGAGGCAATGGAAATTATTAGTCTCCTTGATAGCAGCTGGAGGTGGCACACAGCAGTTAAGCGGCTTGCCCAAGTCACACAGCGAGGCAGCACAGAAGCGGCACTCGCGTCTAGACCTGCGTGACTCTCAATCTGGTTCTTTCTGCCCTCCCCCTCACTGCCGCCCATGAGATCCCGCAAAGAAGTCAGCTCTGGGAGAGCACAGAGCTGGGCCAGTTGTAAACAGGCCTTGTTCAGCCCGTCCCAGCTGCCGGCCATGGGCTATGCTAGTCGGGGAGGAAGAACTCATGGTCCTGCTCATGAGACTTGGGCTAGGAAGGGGCTCCCCGAGCCTTGCCGTGGGGTGGAGGCTGAACTGCACCCGTCTGTCTCCCCACCAGGCTGGGTTCCCTTCAAGGAGGGGCTCAGCCTGTCATGGGGCCAGGTGCCCAGCAGGTTTCTCCCCACGGTATCCAGGATCCACTTGGGCTCCGAGGAAAAGCACGGTTTTTGGTCCGGCTCAGAAGCCGTGGGGTCACTGCCTGCCATCAGAGCACTGAGACCGGCCCTCAGGACGAGAGAGCCTGTGACAGGTCCAGACTCAGAGCTGAGGGAGAAGTGCTGGTTGTCCAAGGGTTCTGGGGGGTCGCTATGGGCTGCGGAGTCAGGGTGAGCCGGGCAGGCTAATGCTGTGCTGGGTGGAGGGAAGGGACAAAGGCATTCCAGGCCAGAGCTGCGCCAGCAAGGAACGGGAGGTTGGAGTGAGCAAGCTCACCACCTCCTTTCTCTTCCTTGAGTACTCTGGAATCTAGAATGTTCTACCTGGAAAACGCAGAGCAATTTTCAGCACTTGGATATCAGATTGAATTTTTGCTAGGTCCATGTTACCACCCATACTATTATTTTCATACAATTTTTTCTTTGACTCGATTCATAATTTTTTAACTTAGCCATATTAGCAATAATATCTGTGACATCATGGATTTGGCATGCAAGTTATATTTTTCATGCAAATTAAAATAAACAGATAATGACTATAATTATAAACTTCATCTCTGTACCGTGTAAAGGAACTGTAAGTGACCAGCTGAGATGCATTCTGGGAAGCGCTGATGTAATCCTGATGAGGGGTCAGATGCTAGGAGAGACGAGGGGGCTTGCCTGAGGTTGCACAGCCAGGAGTGACCAACTGGGCAGCTGTCCAGTGGGCTTGCTGCACAGCAGGACTCTGTCCTGGATGGTCTTGGGCAGCATTCTGCAGAGAGAGGAGAAGGCAGGCAGCAGTGGGCTACAGCGTGGGCAAAGGCTGGGAGGCGCGTGGAGTAGAGAGTAGGGAGACCGGCCCTGTGGGGAGGGGGGTTGGGGGGAGGGGAGAAGCCAGGAGTAAAGGTGAGGAGCCTTCCTTGTGATTCTCTTCACTGGCTCTGAAACTCTTCCTCCAAAAAAGAAACCTTTGTGGGAGAGCTCCTGGCTTTATTTAAATCAAATGCAAAGTTTTGTTCTCAGTCAAATTCCCAGAGCTGGTTTCCTGACTCTGTGGCTGTGTTTCCTTCTGTACCTTGGAAACTTCATACGATGAAATGAGCCTGCCCCTTTCTGCCCTGAGGTGGGGTGGGAGACTCAAGACACATCAGGAGGTTTGACAGGAAGGGGAGGCGATGGATAAGGGCAAAGTCAGATCAGAAGCATATTTATTTTGTAAAGCATTTATTGAGCTCCTGCTGTATGTCAGGCCCCAGGCTGGTGCTTGTTTGTGGCTCACCACTCTTGGATGTGTGTCTGCTGGGACTCTACTTGCAATGGCATCCATTTGTAGTGTTCCCTAGGGGGCGACATCCCACAGTGAAGCTGGACTCCACTGTGGGCTGCCCATCCAGCCCTCACCCAACCTCTTATGTGCATGTGGGACAGGCATGCAGGAGGAACCAGCAGGGGGGCTGGTTGATTGGAGCCTGTGTCATGGTTGGTGGCCGGGGGGTGGAGATGGGCACCACTCCACTCTCTAGAACAGGGGCTCTTAAACTTCAGTCTCACTGCAGGGGATTGGAGCTGATTAAAATGCTAATTTCTGGGCTCCATCCTCCCTATATTGAATTCAGTAGGTCTTGATTGGGTCCCAGGAATCGGCATTTCTAACAAATGATGCGGGAGGGAGGCTCAGAAATCCAACCCCCCCCCCCCCCCCCCGCCCCCGACGCACTGGATGATTTTGGTGCAGGTGACTGGTGGGCCACACATTGAGAAGCCTTTCCCTGAAGGGTAGCCTGGCATAGGAAAAATTCTCAGATTTCCAGCCAGGAGCACTGTGTTCATGGTCCGAGCCATTAGCTGTGTAATTTTGGACAAGTCCCTTCACCTCTCTGTGCCTGGTAACCATGATGATGACATATAGGACCAAACAATTTCTGAGGGTGCGCTTGTGGGTTAGAAGCCTGAGAGAATCAGAGGCAGGGATGATGATGGGTAGTTGTTTGCCTCCTTGCATATAGAGGGGGACACCTTCCTCCTGCCCCGGGCCACCAGCAGTGTTCTCTCCGTGAACACCCAGCCTCCTCTGTCTGCCCCTCCTGAATTGAGCAGTTTCTGTCTTGTGGAAGGCAGCCCATAGGGGTTATTGGGTGGATGGTCAACTCTATCACATGGCACGTCCCCTGGAAGTGAAAGGGCCCTACCACCTTTCTGGAAGGTGGGATGGACGTGTGTACCAAAAGCAGGAAATGTGTGAATACCCTCATGCCAGTCTTTGCTCCTGTAAGCCTTTATTAAGAGATAAGGTCCTCTAGCACAGGGCAGCACACAACTCTTGGGGATTAGGTCCCCTGTTCCTGTGTCCTGAGGGCAGCACCAGGGCTGGCCCACCTCCTGCCTCCCTGGGGAGCAGCTTCCCTCCCCTGGTGTCCAGCCAAAGGCCTTCAGGAAGAGTTTCCAGCCTGACCCTTGTCTCTCCTGCTCCTCACAGATGTCCTGGCGTCCGCAATACCGAAGCTCCAAGTTCCGGAACGTGTATGGAAAGGTGGCCAACCGGGAGCACTGCTTCGATGGGATCCCCATCACCAAGAACGTGCACGATAACCACTTTTGTGCTGTCAACGCCCGTTTCCTGGCCATCGTCACTGAGAGCGCAGGAGGAGGGTCCTTCCTAGTCATCCCCCTGGAGCAGGTAGGTGCCCGGCACCTCCCTAGCCCTGGCCACAGCCCCAGGGCAGAGAGAAGCCCTCCTTGGTTACTACTGGGTGGCTGCCCTTATTTCTCTCTGCACCCCCCAACCACAACCTTTTATTTCCTTATCACGTGTCCAGTGTGTGTGCCTTACCAAGGATTTCCTAAGAGTCACCAGAACAAGGGTGGGCTATGACCCAGGAGACCTGGGATCTGTTCCCAGAACTTCCCCAAAGGTGTGCACTTGGACAAGTCACTTTCCTCAGGGTACCTGCGGTTCTCATTAACCTGAGGGATTGGAACGTCTGATCTCCAAGGCCAGGTCTGGCTCTACTATTCTGTGTCCTGGATGTCCTTTTGGTTTGGAGCCAAGACGGAGGAAGACCCAGCCATAGGCACATTGGTCATCTGCAGAAAGGGCACACACACAAAAAAAGCCCAAAAAACATTGCCAGCTCTCCACTGAGAGACTGGCAATCTCAGCCCACACCTTCTACCTAAAGGTTTTCTCCCTCTGTGTCTGCCTTCGTGAATATAGCAAATTAAATCTGCAAAGCCTGGATCATGAAATTTTGAAGCTCTGCCATCCAGGCAAAGTCCCCAGAGGCCTGTGGGAGGTCACGCGCCTCAGGAAAAGTGCTCGCTGTCAGTCCTGCTTGTTTATGGCTGAGCTCTCCTTCCCAGCCTGACTCATCTCCACTCCCACCTTCTGCCAAACTGCTCTGGGGAGGAGGAGGCGCATAAGGAGGAAGGCCTGGTTCTTGAAATCCACTGTCAGCTGGTGGTGGAGGATGGCTTTTTCCAGTCTCTCCTACCCACAGTGGGAGAGCACAGATTTGGGAAATACTTGGACCAGAGCCTCCCTTCCACCAAAGGGGGCAGCTGAGGTGATGCTGAGGACAGAGCCTGAGGCGCAGATAGGTCCGAGGAGCAGTGACTCAGGCAGCAGGAGGTCTGGGTTCTAGTTGGGCTCTGCCGCTTGCCGGCTGTAGGACCTTGGGCACATCACTTCACCTCGCTGCACTTTATTTTTCTGTAATGGTACAGTGGGGATTCTAAACACCCCACCACCTATATTCGAGATGTTGGCATTGGGTGGAATAATGGACATGAAAACTTCTTGTGAACAACACGACATGTTTAAGATGTTTTGCTCCTTTCTTGGAAGAATCATCTGCTCTGCTCCTCAACTTTGCAGATGCCCTCAATGGCTCTAACACAGTAGAAAGGATTCTGAAATGTAGCTTGCTCCCCGTCTCGAACCAGATGGGCTCAGATATCTGTCTACCTCGGGGACTAGCTCAGCCCCAGCCTGCAGGTCCCTAGCAACATCCCTACTAGGGCCCAAGCCTATGGCCAGCCCCCTGCCATACTCTACTTGGTGGTTTGCAAAGGCCTATAGTCAGTACCTCACATCATAACAAAAGTGACTCCCAGGTAGGTTAAACATGAAAAGAAAACAAAAAGAAAAGCTGCAAGTATATTGGAGGAAAATGGAGAGCATTTTTAAAATCATGCAATAAGGAAAGGCTTTCTACCGCAAGACAAGGATCCCTAAGCCATAAAGGAAATGATTAATAGATTAATTTTTTGAAAAAGGTAAAGTTGATGTACTACAATGAGACATGTAAGCAAAATTAAAGGCAAACCACATAATTGAGTACAATAGTTATAATACATAGCAGACAAAAGAGTTGTGTCCAGAGTGTATAAGGGTTCCATAGAAATCAATAAGGAAAAGAACCTCATAGAAAATTGGCTGAGGATATGAGTAAGCAATTCTCAGAAAACAAAATATATCTTTTAACCCATTAAATAGGAAAAGATTTAAAAGAGCAATAATCTTTGGTGTTGGCAAAGTTGTGGCAGAGCAGGAACTCAGGTCCACTCTCGGTGTGTTACACGCTGAGACGCAAACGGAGGCAACTTGGCAATGTGCGTTAACATTTAGGGGTGCACGTCACTGGCCCGGCAGTTCCTCTTCCAGGAATCCATCCTACAGAAGTATTCTCCAGTAATGTTTGCAGCATTTTTCAGTACTTGATTTTTTTTACAAACATCTTTTTATTTGCAACAAAAATAAAATTTCTCAAATTGCATAAAAGTTTCTAAACTCTTCCTCTCAATTTCTGTAATGGTGCCAGAGTTTCATACTCTCAGTAGCACTGGTCTGGATTATGATCAAATTTTGTAAACACTTCGTGGACAACAGAAAAAAAAGTACTCCTAACAGAGTATATTTCTCTATATAGAAATATATAACGTATCAGTGCATGTACATACATAGTCCAGTCAATGTACGCATAGCTTTTCAACTTTATTTGTTGACAGTCTCTGATACATTTTGTTTAATTTGATTAAAAATGGACTGAGAGTGACAGCTCACACTGCCAGTTGGGTGCTGTTGTTTCCTCTCATTTCATGAAATGTTCACTTTACATAAGTACTTGATGATGTGTGCAGCACTTTTATAGCTGAAAATTGGAAACAACCTGTAGGTTCATGGGTAAGGAAATGGGTGAACAATTTAAGAGACAGTCACACAAGGGGACACTGTACAGTCATCAAAACTGATGACATAGGGCAGTTCTCTAGTGTTCAACCTCAGAATCACCTGACTCTTAGAAATGATTGCAGACCCCAAAGAGCCTTTGCTTACAGGGGTTATATCAATCAATAGGTAGCATAATTTAATATGCTAGTAGTATGTTAATTTACTTAAAATAACAATAATAAAACGATGTCATGTTCTTCAAAAAAAATTTTATAAAGAAATAACTGTATCTTCCAAAACAAAAAAAAAAATTATTGAGAAGAATGGCATTGTTTTACATGTTTGCAAATCTCTTTAAATGAGTCTGTTTAATAGATGAGCAGGATTTGCATATCTGCTCCCACGTTCGGCCCCTGTGACATCATGCATCATGCAGCCTCTGGAAAACTCCACTGTGCCCTCCTGAGAGAATAGCATGAAAAGGCAAATAATGGCTTCATATTATTATGAAAATAGTTTTAATCCAACAGACTCCCTGAAAAAGTCCTGGGGGTCTCCAGAAGTCCCAGACCATACTTTGAGAACCACTGGCATAGAATATTTAATGAGAGAAAAGTGTTTATGACATACTGTTAGGTGAAAAAAAAGGTAAAATATTTAAAAATATCCCATTTAAAAATATCTATGTCTCCATCTACCTGTCTGGACAAGACTGAGAGAATATATACCTAATATTAAAAGGGGTTATCTTCAAGTAGTGAGATCATGGGTGCTCTTTCATTGTCTGCATTTTCCTTAGCAATATTTTCTAAAATGTTTTTGGTAAACATTTAATGTTTTGTACTTTAGGGGAAAAAAAATCTAATAAAAGCAGTTTGCTGATGTGAAGAGGGAGCCCCCGAGGTTTCCAAGGCCGCACAGCCCAAAGCTGGCTCCGTTTAGTGCTCCTTTATGTATGTTGCAAATGTTTTCTCCCAAGCAACATATGCTTATGAGCTTGCTGGAGAAAATGCAAACTTAATCCATAGTGAGGGCATGGGGTCGGGGTGGGGCTGAGAGGGGTGGCTGGGAGGACGAGGCAGCTCCCAGGCGGTTCATTTATTAGGTTGAGCCAGGACCCTGGATTCTGTGGAGCAGGGTCCTGCCCCCAAAGAGGGCTTGGGAACCAGGGCCAGCTCCTCCCTTCCCCTGCTGCCTGGGCCAAGTCAGTCAGTCTCCTCTCCCCTGTGGTCAGAGCTGGGTCTGCAGGCAAGAGCCTGGCTGGCGGGTACAGGGAGGCAGTGCTCATAAACAACAATAACAATAATGCCGAATTCAGAAACCCCTCGTTATCTCAGCAGAGATGAGCTGTTCCATGCTGGTCGATTTCCTGGGAAGGTTACATTATTTTCGCTCTAGGTTTTTCCCCTCAGTTTGATAGAAACCTCTCTGAAAAAGTTTCCCGTGTTATTCAATACAGACAGAAAAAATATAGGCCATTTCTTGATTAATCCTAATCATTGCTTTGAGTGTTAATTATGAGCTGTGTAGTCATGTGGCACACTTTTGTCCCTCCTCTACATTGTCCCACAATGGCTCCGGACTGTTGTCCTGAGCAACCAAAAGGCCACATTGTCTGTTGTCCGTCTTTTCCAAATTGTTTTCCATCTACTGTTGGTGTCCTTCTCATTTTTCTTGCTTCTCTGAGAGGTTTGGGCCAGAGGAGACCAGGATGAGCCCGGGACCCCCAAATTGCTGAGCCTTCGGAGCAAGGCTCCACTCTTCCAGGAAGTGTCTCTCCCTCTGTACTGTTTCCCTCAAAGCCAGTTGGCCTGAGATTTCAATATTTGTGAGTAAAACCTTTTCTGCCGGGGAAGGAACCGTGTCCACAGCAACTCCAAACAACAACAATATGTTGGCTTTGTACAGCACTCTGTTCCAATGCTGTATTGACCAGTCCTCTCAGGTGGTAGGTGGAACCAGCCCCATTTTACAGTTGGGAAAACTGAGGCTGCAGAGACAGGCATACAGTCGGTCAGTGCAGGAGCTGGGCCTGAAATCAGCCCTCTTATTTCTGAATCCACAACTCTTTCCATGGCCCATGACACTGCTGAACAGCTAAATTCTGGCTGGCTGGCAGATCTCGAAGGAGTGGATTTGTTCTCCCCGGGGCTCTTGTTCAGGCTGTTGTGAAGGCCAGAGCCTGTTTTTCCCTAGTTAACATTCAGCCGCCAGCTCTCTCCTCTCTGGAGTGGAATGTTAAGCTGCAGATGGGGGAGCAATCAGCACCCTGATTGCCTGGCACAGCTGGAGGGGCCTTATGAATATTCCAGAGACCAGGCATCGTGCCCAGGCCTGATTAACCACTTGGGCCTCCCCAGGTGCACCGCCTCTCTCCTGCCGCAGTCCACCAGGGCCGCCCGACCCAGGCCCACGAAGGCCAAAGCCAGGACCACAGCCTTGCATGCCTAAGCTTTAGCCAGCTACCGAGTACCCCAGCTGGCACCTGGTAGAAAAGAAAGAAGCCT